TTTCTCTCCTGTGTGAGTCCTCTGGTGTTGAACCAAGCTGGAATTGTGACTGAAACTTTTCCCACAATCAGGACATTCAAAGGGTTTCTCTCCTGTGTGTGTCCTCTGATGGCTCACTAGGTGAGAATTCCGACTGAATTGTTTCCCACAGTCAGGACACTGAAAGGGTTTCTCTGCTGCGTGAGTCCTCTGGTGTTGAACCAAGCTGGAATTGTTACTGGAACTTTTCCCACAGTCAGAACAGTTAAAGGGTTTCTCTCCTGTGTGAGTCCTCTGGTGTTGAACCAAGCTGGAATTGTGACTGAAACCTTTCCTGCAGTCAGGACATTCAAAGGGTTTCTCTCCCGTGTGAGTCCTCTGATGGCTCACTAGGTGAGAATTCCGACTGAATTGTTTCTCACAATCAGAACATTCAAAGCGTTTGTCTCCTGTGTGAGTCTTCTGGTGTTTCACCAGGCTTGAATTCTGACAAACTTTTACCACAATCATGACACTCAAAGGGTTCCTTGTCTGTGTGAATATTCTGATGTTGAACCAATCTGGAACTGTGACTGAAACTTTTCCCACACTCAGGACATTCAGATGGTTTCTCTCCTGTGTGAGTCCTTTGGTGTATCATCAGGTTGGAATTATCACAGAAACATTTCCCATATTTAAGACATTCAAACATTTCCTCCTGATGTAAGTCCTCTGGTGAGTCACAAGGTTGGAATTCTGAAACTTTTTCCACAACCAGACATTTAAAGGGTTTCCCTCCTGTGTGAGTCCTCTGCTCTGATTCAGTGGTGATTTCCTTCTTCCCAGACCTAGGCCTGCAACACTGTCTGCTCTATGTGGCTTTCCAATTGACTTTTTCCTCCCCAATACCTTCAAGATATTTCTCTCTTTTGCTGAATGAAAAAATAACCTCCTTTGACTTTGCCTGTAATGTTTGCTTGAATTTCACACTCTAGTTGGAAATGGAAGATATTCTGGTTTCTGGACTGACTTGCTTTGCTATTCAGTGTTGCTTGTTATCCTCAGTTGTCCAGAGTGCTCTTATTGCCATCCTCTTTGTCTATAAGATTCAAATAAAAGGATATCTTTAATTGTGCATAAAATGTTTGCAGAAGATGAGAAAAAAAGATAAAGATTTATGTTACAATGACAAAGCAAACATGCCACAATGCTCCAATAAGCTCTTACATTAATCATGATTCATTTAAGACATGGAAGAATTCCCAGATCCAAGTTCAAATATCCACTGAATGACGAAATTAATTTGTTGACCAGGTCAGTCACAAATTCCTAGCACTGCAAAGGGTTCTTTTCAAATACAGTCAAGTGAAAAAGAAAGTACACCCTCTTTGATTTCTAAGGTTTTACTTATCAGGGTATCAAATATCACCGCAACAGAACAGAAGAGAATAACAGGATTGGAAGGGAACTTGCAGGTCTTCTAATCCAGTCTCTGTTCAAGCAGGAGATTCTACACCATTTTACACAAGTGGCTCTCTCGTCTCTTCTGAAAAGCCTCCAGTGATGGAGCACCACAACTTCTGAAGGCAAGTCGTTCTGCTGGTTAATTGTTCTCACCATTAGGAAATTTCTCACTGCTTCCATAGTATAAAGAGGCGAAGTAACAGCCAAGTACTGCTAATAAAATGCCCTTGATCAATTGATCATCAGGAAGCATGACTACATCTACAAAAGCTGAACTTGGAGGAGTTTTCTGGTCTCTAGCATTGAGCTGTGTGTCAACACAATGCCAAAGAGTAAAGATATCAGCAATGATCTTCGAGAAGAAATTGTTGCTGCCCACCAATTTGGCAAAGTTTAAAAGGCCATTTTCAAACAATTTAAAATCCTTCATTCTACACTGAGGAAGATTATTCACAAGTGGGGAACATTCCAGACTCCCAGGAGTGGATATCCTAGAAAATTCGCCCAAAGATCAGACAATGCAATGGCCAGACAAATTGCTAAAAAACAAAGTGTTAAGACTCTACAGCCTTCAGTTAGCATGTTAGACCAGTGGTGGCTAAACTTTTTGGGCTCCTGTGCCAAAAATTGTGTGTGCGCTTGCAGGCTCGCAGTCGCATGCCAGCACCCAGAAGGCAACGCACACCCCACCATGCCCCCTATGTATGTACGCGTAATCCCCATCCCCCCACCCCTGCCAACTTAACCTGCACTGCGCCTCACAGCTGATTTTTGGCCAGTTTGTGGCCTTTTTCGGCCTCCCAAAGGCTCGAGGAAGGCTTCTGCAAGCTTTACAGGCCGAAAACTAGCCAAAAACTTTTCGGAAAAACTGGAAGTGACAAAACAGGGCTAGTTTTCAGCCTGCAAAGCCTGCAGAAGCCTTCCTCAAACCTTTGGGAGGTCGAAAAAGGCCTCAAACCAGCCGAAAATCAGCTGTGAGGTGCACACATGCCCAGTGAGGTAAGTTTGCTTGCAGACTGCATGCTGGCACAAATGGCTCTGCGTGCCACCTGTGGCATGCGTGCCATAGGTTCGCCATCACAGTGTTAGACTCTCCAGGCTTCAGTTAGCTGGTTAAATGTTAAGATTCATGTCAGTGCAATTAGAAAAAGACCTAACAGTTTGAAAAGATTGCCAGGGGAAAGTCTCTTCTCTCTAAAAAGGTCATAGCAGCACGGCTGAAGTTTGCAAAGTTGCATCTGAACAAATCACAGGACTTCTGGAACACTTGTCCTTTGCACAGACCAGACCAAAGTAGAGATGTTTGGCCAAAATGCACAGTGACACGTTTGACGAAAACCAAACACAGTGTATCAGCACAAGCATCTCACACAAACCGTCAACAATGGAGGTGGAGGGGTGATGATTTGGGCTTGTTTTGCAGCCACAGGACCTGGACACCTTGCACTCTTTGAGTCGACCATGAACTCCTCTATATACCACAGTATTCTAGAGTCAAAAGTGAGGCCATCTGTCCAGTAGCTAAAGTTGGACTGACATGGGACTATGCAACAGGACAATGGTCGCAAAACACATCAGGAAATCTACAACAGAAGGGCTGAAAAAGAAAAGGATCAAGGTGTTGCAATGGCAGTCAAAATCCAAACCTCAACCCAATTGATGGGACCTCAAGAGAGTTGTGCCTAAAAAAAACACCCACAAACCTCAATGAACTGAAGCAATGTTGTAAAAAAGATTGAGACAAAATTCCTCCATAATGCTGCAAGAGACTGATGAAGTCACACAGAAAAGAATTGCTTCTAACAACTTCTCCATTGCGTGCACATGCGTAGGGGACGGGGGGGGGGCGCTCATTGCCTTCTGGGTGCTGGCACGTGAGTGCGAGCATGCAAGCGTGCACACAGTTTTTGGCACAAGAGCCCAAAAAGTTTAGCCACCACTGCCCTATTCCATTCCGAACAAATGGCTGTCCAATCTCCTCTTAAGACCCTCCAGTGATGGAGCCCCCACAACTTCTGGAGGGGAGCCATTCCCAAAGGATCCACCTTCACTTGATGAGACAAATAAAGAATAACACAAGAACAGTAATCAACATACTAGAGTATTATGAGGCCCATCCAGAAAAACAGCCGGTCTTACTTTTTCTGGATACTCAAAAGGCCTTTGATAAGGTTAACTGGCAGTTTATGACCCAACAGATAAAAGGAATGAAATTTGGAGACAGATTTGAAAACATGATGGAGTCAATATACTCCTCCCAGAAAGCAAGCATAATAATAAATGGGAAATTTACAAATATATTCGAAATAATGAAAGGAGTACGGCAGGGCTGTCCTCTGTCACCTCTGCTCTTTATCCTGACGTTAGAGCCTTTGTTAATAAGATCGAATTGGGAGATAAGAGGGCTTAAAATCGAACAAGAAGAATATAAGGTCCAAACGTTTGCTGATGACCTGGTATTTTTCATAGAAGAACCATTGGAGACAGGACCAAAATTAATACAAGAGATAGAAAAATTTGGGGAAGTAGCTGGCCTTACAATTAATAAGGAGAAAACTAAAATGATAATTAAAAATCTAACAGATGATCAGAAGAGGGAATTAGAGAAAGAAATAGGACTGCAAAGAAAGTTAAATATTTGGGCATCTGACTAACAGCGAGATGATCATCAATAAAAGATGATTATTACATGAGTTTAGTACAACAAAAAAAGATTTAGAAGGATGGGGGAAAATACAGTAATCTTTGTCAGGAAGAATTTGTGGCCTTTAAGATGAATATTCTGCCAAAACTACTTTACCTGTTTCAAATGATCCCTGTGAAATTGGACAAGAATTTTTTCCCCCAGATCTAAACAAAATAACTACAAAATTTGTATGGGCGGGCAAAAGAGCAAGAATAAAATTAAGTGCAATGCAGGATAATAGAAGCAGAGGTGGCTTGGACTCCCAGCTTGGGAAATTTACTATAAAGCAGCAGGCCTAACATGAATTAAACAATGGGTAAACTTAAGAAATAAAAGAATTCCATTTCTGGAAGGGCACCATCTACAGGCAGGGTGGCATGCCTTCATGTGGAGTCCCAGATGTAAGGCCCATACATATTTCCACAGACATATACTAAGGGACTCGCTAATACGAATATGGGAAGAAATTAAAAATAAACATTACATAAAAATCCCAGGATGGTATCCACTATGGAGGCAATGATAAACCCCAATACATTAGAACTAGGAGGAATGGCCAGATATTATGAAATTTTAGATCCCCAAGGAGCATTAAAGACCAACCAGGAATTAAGAGATCTGGGACTAAATATAGACTGGTGGCTGTACCTCCAATTAAAATCAAAATATAAAAAAGACCAAGAGAAATTTGGAATTGTGGTAGAACCAAACCAACTAGATAAATTAATGGTATGTACAGAAAAAAAACTGATATCAAGGATATATAACTATTTATTAGAATATGATTTGGCAGAAGAAATAGTGAAAGGATCGATGATAGCGTGGGCCAGGAATTTGGGACATAACATAGAGCTGGAGGACTGGGAAAAGATCTGGAAAAAAATTATACGATAACAAAATCAGCAGCATATAAGGAAAACCAACATAAAATGTGCTACCGGTGGTATCTAGCCCCTTCGAGATTGGCTAAAATGTATTCTAATTTTTTAAGCCCAAATTGTTAGAAATGTAAGCAATCACAGGGTACCTTCTTTCATGTATGGTGGCTAAGTCAAAAAATTAAGAAATGTTGGACCAAAATACAAAAATGGTTGAAGGAAATTACAAAAGTCCAAACAGAATTTAAAGCAGAAATATTTCTCCTGAGAATTATCAAAGAGAATTATATGAAAGAGATAAAATATCTAATCCTGCATATCATAACAGCAGCGATATTAGCACTCACACAATGTTGGAAAGGAGATTTTTTTTTCCAAAAAGTTTATTTTTTAAATTTTACACATCTCTTTACATGGGCAAAGTGATTCCAGATTATAAGACTTGTACATAATCATACTTTCATTTCCACCAATCTTATATAATATCATCTCATATTATCTATTTCACTCATTTTTAAATAATTTTCCATTTCATATTTCAATTCATTAATTCAATATCAATATCATTTCATCCACATATAGATTCCCACTTCTTTATCCCCTATTATTTCCGTTTTCAGCTTACCACCTATTTTATTTAACATTACACATCATTATTATCCTTAATTTTTCCTAGACCAATTATATAATAAACAATCTAAAAAAAGTAAAAATAAGACAAAACCAATATATTTAGGATCCACATGGTATATCCCCTCAATCTATCTAATTTAAGAATTAATTCCCCCACTTTAAACATATTAACATTAAATAATCAACTGTATATTTTAAAACATATATATTTTAAGGTATCCCCCCTGAAATTGCTAAAATGACTTCTTAATATGTCTCATTTCATCTTCACTTTTCTTTTAATCATTAATAATCATATTTTCCCCCTTTCTACTTATCCAAAATTTATAAGAAAAGTGAAATGTATTAAAACATATAATCATTAATAATCATATTTTTCTTCCTTTCCACTTATCCAAAATTTATCTATATATTTTAATACATTTCCATTCCCCTGTTTTAATCCTCCAATGTAAGGGTTCATAACAGCATAATTCATATACAGTTATATATACACTGCTCAAAAAAATAAAGGGAACACAAAAATAACACATCCTAGATCTGAATGAATGAAATATTCTTATTAAATACTTTGTTCATTACATAGTTGAATGTGCTGACAACAAAATCACACAAAAATTATCAATGGAAGTCAAATTTAGCAACCCATGGAGGTCTAGATTTGGAGTTACACTCAAAATTAAACTGGAAAGAAACACTGGCTGATCCAACTTTGATGTAATGTCCTTAAAACAAGTCAAAATGAGGCTCAGTAGTATGTGTGGCCTCCACGTGCCTGTATGACCTCCCTACAATGCCTGGGCATGCTCCTGATGAGGTGGCGGATGGTCTCCTGAGGGATCTCCTCCCAAGCCTGGACTAAAACATCCCCCAACTCCTGGACAGTCTGTGGTGCAATGTGGCGTTGGTGGATGGAGGGAGACATGATGTCCCAGATGTGCTCAATTGGATTCAGGTCTGGGGAACGGGCGGGCCAGTCCATAGCATCAATGCCTTTGTCTTGCAGGAACTGCTGACACACTTCAGCCACATGAGGTCTAGCATTGTCTTGCATTAGGAGGAACCCAGGGCCAACCGCACCAGCATATGGTCTCACAAGGGGTCTGAGGATCTCATCTCGGTACCTAATGGCAGTCAGGCTACCTCTGGTGAGCACATGGAGGGCTGTGCGGCCACTTAAAGAAATGCCACCCCAAACTATTACTGACCGGTCATTCTGGAGGATGTTGCAGGCAGCAGAACGTTCTCCATGGCGTCTCTAGACCCCGTCACGTCTGTCACATGTGCTCAGTGTGAACCTGCTTTTATCTGTGAAGAGCACAGGGCGCCAGTGGCAAATTTGCGAATCTTGGTGTTCTCTGGCAAATGCCAAACATTCTGCATGGTGTTGGGCTGTAAGCACAACCCCCACCTGTGGACGTCGGGCTCTCATACCGCCCTTATGGAGTCTGTTTCTGACTGTTTGAACAGCCACATGCACATTTGTGGCCCACTGGAGGTCATTTTGAAGGGCTCTGGCAGTGCTCCTCCTGTCCCTCCTTGCACAAAGGCAGAGATAGCGGTCCTATTGCTGGGATGTTGCCCTCCTACGGCCTCCTCCACATCTCCTGATGTACTGGCCTGTCTCCTGGTAGCGCCTCCATGCTCTGGACACTACGCTGACAGACACAGCAAACCTTCTTGCCACAGCTCACATTGATGTGCCATCCTGGATGAGCTGCACTACCTGAGCCACTTGTGTGGGTTGTAGACTTCGTTTCATGCTACCACTAGAGTGAAAGCACCACCAGCATTCAAAAGTGACCAAACCATCAGCCAGAAAGCATAGGAACTGAGAAGTGGTCTATGGTCACCACCTGCAGAACCACTCCTTTATTGGGGATGTCTTGCAAACTGCCTATGCTTTCCACCTGTTGTCTATTCCATTTGCACAACAGCATGTTAAATTGATTGTCAATCAGTGTTGCTACCTAAGTGGACAGTTTGATTTCACAGAAGTGTGATTGATTTGGAGTTACATTGTGTGGTAATATAATCTATTGATCATTTTCTGTAAGTCCTTTGTACAACTAGCAATAGGTCT